TAGGGGACTATCTGTAATAGAATTGTCTAGACATAACAGCAAGGAAATTACAAAATTATCAGTATTGTTATCAGGTTGCTTGGCTGTGATCCTAAAGGTTAACAGAAGCACAAAGGCATTCTCATGGCTTCTATGTATTTACATGGGATTATTCAGCATACATATTCAGAACACAGAAATCTCTCTCCAAAGGAATATGCCGTATGCTCATGCATGGATTCGCATTTGTACACTATAGGGTGTTCCTAACAAACATCTGATTCAGAGATAATATTATTTGCCATCAACAGATTCCTTTCTATGACTGTAGTCTTCCATATATTACTCATATATTATTTGAAAAATTACCTTGTTGAATGTATTTATTTAAATGTGATATATCAGAAATTCATGTCAGATTAGTGGTATAGTAATTTGGCGCATTGAATGTCATTCATTACATAAAAATAATTCATATACAAGTTGTGAATATGACTAAAATTCTTTGCATTGTTTTCTTTATTTACTATTTGTCTTTATATAATAGTCATAGCTAGTTTTTTTTTAACATTCTCTGTGAAAACTGTATGACCTTGCAAATTACTCTAACAGTTTGTAGAAGGGTAAAGTAAAAAAAAAGAAATCACTACAATAACAAATACATACTATTACTTATTTGGATGATCTATAACTTCCCTTTTATTATATTATCATTTCATTATCTCTTTTATTTCAAATGGCTTCAAAATTACAAAAGAAATTATGTTAATCAAAATGTAAGAAGTATATCAAGACAGGGAAGAACACATGTCCCTTTATTATGTGTATAAATAAAATATGAATAAATTGTTTCAACATATCTTTGCATACTGTAATTATATCAGCAATTTACCATAAAGGGAAATGTTTGATTGGAATGATAAGTATATATTAAAGTGATATTTCTACCTTTCAGTTCCTGCAACAGTGAGATGGGTGGTGACAAATTTGAAATATAAACAAACATAAACAAAAAGCAGAGCAGGGCTACTGTACAAAAATGTACTTTCCCCTGCAATCTTGTTATTTGCCAAAAATGTCAGAATAATGTAAGGTGGCAAGAACCCCTCTCTAGGGGCTGCTACAAGGTGGGGGTGTCAAAAAAGTTGAGATGGCAGCTGCAGTCATTTAAAAGAGCCGTCTCTTTTGTGCATGCACTGTGTGATCTATATAAAAAGGGTGGGATTCCGATCACATAATTTTAGCCGCTCTCAGGGGCCACCCTTGCTTCTCTCTATCCCTTTTTCAAAGATACTTCCTTAGCTAGTATCAGTCACCTCCAGGATTGGCTGGGGCATCAATGGGATCTGTAGTCTATCACTTACAGCACTGAAGAATTTGCCATGGACCAGTTTGGTTCAATAAAACTCTATTTAGTGTTTTAATTTTTCAGTCAAGACTGCAACCATCTTTTTAAAATTTAAGCATGCCTAAATTGTGTGCCTATATGTCACATATAGTATCAGCCTGAGTGCTATAACTACACTGAAAATACATAGCACCTATTAACCAAGATGTTAGAAATGGACAATGAAGGCAGAACCAGGAGAATGCTGCTTCTATGGGGACTGAACTAAATTCTCAAAGACCTCACAATGCCTGTAATTGAGTACAGGTTGGAATATGCAACTTTTGAGGGTTACAACTTGGTATACCACTTTGGGTATACTTCTTTCTTATTCTTTCTGTTCCTTAGTTTTCTTCTTCCACGCATGTATCTGCCATTCATCATTCTAAGATCACTGAGCATGATGAATATTCACCAGATTGGTTTCTAGGTAAGGGAGGAAATGCCTCCTGAAATCTTTGTTTTCTCTGAAGATTTCCTTGAAGATCTTATCATCCCCCTGAGCCTACTAATATCTTCCACTTGGGTGCAGTTGGACTACATAAGCAACAATACTTATCCCTGAACATTGTTAATGGAAACTTTTTGATGGCAAGCTAGTCTCTAAAATCAACTCTGCTTACATGCCCTCCAATAAGAGCAATGAGGTTGATGAGCACAAATGACAGAGATTTTCCTGAGGTGATTTGTTCCTTGTGCAATGACCTGCCATGGGATGAGGGCATGACTCCCTCTTTGACTCCTTTTAAATGTGTGTAACAGACTGCATTATCCAATTTCCTTTTAACTGAATTAATTTTCACTGCTATTAATATTTTATATTACAGTGTCTTATTTCATTTGTTTTTTTTACGAGCAACAAGACTTTTGCTTGCAATTTGCCCAGGAGTAGCTTTTGCTAAAAAAAAAAAAAAAAACCACTACAAAAGTATTATAAATAAAATAGGAGTGATTGGTGATGCATGTGGTGCTTTGAAACCAGTACATATTTATCCATGCAGTAAGATGTGGATGGCTAGGGCTGGCAGCGTTCCATTCACAAAAAGGTTTGGGGCATTGTAATATAATTTTTTTTTGCTTCTCTACTAGGGTTTGCTAATTTCACAGCTGAGTTCAGTACCTGATAATACAGAAGCTACTCCTAGTCAGCAACAGAGACACAACACATATTGGCTTACTAATGCCAGGCTTTCTAATCCTTGTTTAGGATTTCCAGATATGGGATGGAAAACCACTAGGGGGCAGCACAACAATACAGGAAAAACTATCCCTTTGATGCCACCCAGTGGTTGTCCAAACATTTGCAGCCTATATCTTGTAGCTCTACACTTGTTTCTCTAAAAAGTTGCTTACATACTCATTGCTCTAATTTTCCCAAAATAAACTGTCAAATGGGTTGATATCTGAAGGTCTGCCCCTCCCCTTTCACCTGTAACAATCTACCTGTACAATAATCTATCTGTACTTACAGGTCAATATCCAGAGTGACTCCCTGTTACAAGATGGGCAGAGATGAAGAAGGGGACCTTCTTGGCAATGGTCCTGTGGTTATGGACCCTTGTGGTAACTGTTCTAATACCACTACTGGCATCTCTCATTGTAGGCAACTCCTTCTTTACTACAGTATTACTCCCCCCCTTAACTTCAATTTTCTGCTTACTTCCCTGAGAGTAAAGCTTTTCACCCTCAGTCATAGTTGCTTCAGAATAGCAATATTTAGGATTACAGTGCTGTATTTGTGTGATTTTTACCTCTGATCTAATGAGATGTTTATGGCCACTGGCCTTTTTGCTATTATTTTGAGGAAGTCAAGGGCTGACCAGGAAGGGCAGTGGCTGTACCAAAATGGGCTAGAAGGCTATTAATGGGATTTTGGGGGTGTATCTGGGTTAAGACCAATCAGTTTATGCACTGATTCCCATCAAAAAAGAGAAACTGTTTTTTCTTCTTCTTGGTTTGCTTCCAACATTCAGTAGCACAATTACTAAAGGCTGCATGCTGTGCCACTTCTGTTTTATGACCTAATACTAAGCATTTTATTCCATATATATTCTATTTCAAATAAGGGCTTCCCTACTGGTACAGGCAGGCTAAATCTCAACACTGAGGTTCAAGGCCCTGCAGCCTGGAGTGGCGGGCAGCAGGGGCAACAGGAAAATGGTCTGACATCAATTCTTGGGTATAATTTAACACCAGGATTTTCAAAAACCGGATACTCAGAAGCATCTGGCAGCCTCTACTGTTGCCTAAGCTCCTTTTTTTTTTTTGAAATACAGTATGGTATTTTCTACTCCGAAATGCTGCTTATCCCCAGCTAAATAAACCTTCCTGTAAGGTTTAGTTGATCATCTGAAATTACTTCATCCGGATTCGATGCATAAAGGATTAATCGGAGTCTGTGCCGACGCCCACATAGCATCTGCCGGCACCTCCGTAAATCCGTGTTCTTGGAATCGAGCAGCAGGATCCGCGCAAATCCACGAAACACCGCGGCTTCTTTATGGAGTTGCCGGCAGACGTAACTCAAGCGCTTCCGCGCTCCCCCACCCTAAATGCGTCGCTCGGGAAGAGACTTTGCTGCCCGCCGCGGCTTCCCCACGGCGATGATGCTGCAGTGACCGGTTTTCTTTTACAGCACTTTAACTGAGTGACTAGCCCGGAGGGAATCGCCGTTTATTTGAAAATCCAGAAGTAGCAGCGCAAACTTTGACCGGCGTCCGGAGAGCGGGCGAGGAGGTGTGGCGAGAGGCACGTGAGAAAAGCCGCTGCCTAATTGGATTGATCAGGCTCTTCCTTGTAGGTCGTACGCCAAACCTTTTTCTCCAAGGGCAGCCTTTCTATGTTGCAAAAGACATGGGAGTCGAGAATGTGGTTTAGCCCCGCGCGCCGAGTTATAATCCAGTACGTGTCCGTGCTGCTCTCTCCTGCTTTGAGGTCGCGGCCGGCCGCGACTCTCCGAGGCAAATTCAGAGCATCATTCAGGGAGCGCCACTTTTGGAAAGGGCGCTCCGTGCTCCCTGTCGGAAGAGCCCTGACCTGCCCCCCTTCCCTGTCTCCGGTTTGGCTCTGTGTTTACATTGTGACCTAGGACGGTGTTGTTCTGCAAGCAGTGCTATAGCCCGTCATAAAAGTTTTACGTAGTTCAGCAGTCAGGACCGGAGGCGAG